GCCTTGGGTCACTCTGATATCTAGCTTAGATCCAGTTTTGGCCAGCCCACCTGAAGAGGAACTTCTGAATTTCAGAGCAGAAATTCAGTTACCTCAGTCCAAGATTAAGGTGGCCAAACATGTCAAATCAAAAGGCTTTCAGTATCTTTTCTTTAGGACCATTTCCATGCTGAGACCATACATTTTGTCTTTGAGAACCTTTTTCCAAGTGTTATTGAGTCCTACTCTGCAAGTTTATTGGGAAGACAGTCTGTTGGAAAAACAAATTGACACTTGAGGAAGTCATCTTTTCACATATGTCACTGAGTGGAATTGTAGGCTTGCTAAAAATACTACTTAGAAGATACAAAGTAAGAAATTTTGGTGGCAGAGATTATAATTAAAGCATCAGATGAGAACTGGAGAGGGGGCTTAATATCCATAGAATATATAACTAAGATTATCCTTTTCTTCTTAGTTTTAGGGCATTAATTCTGCTCTGATCTGTTTGCTTGTTTGTTTTTTAAAGCATTGCACCTGAGAGCAAGATGGGAAATATAAATTATCCAATTTTCTTCAAGACTGGGTTGTCTAGTTAAAGATAGACCTAGTTAAAGATAGAAGTAGGCAGACAGATATACAAGTGAAGTTTTATGGTATGAGGTTTTTTTTCTTTCTTTATCCATCTACTTATTATCTCAGGTAAATGAAAATTGTGGTTTTCAATCAAAAAAAGATCCAAGATGAAGTAATAAATAATGGTTATTTATTCTAGGAATTAGGTAAGAATACAAGGTTGCTTTAGATTTGTTCTAAAATAATGTGGATCTTGTTGCTTTATTAAATGAATTTTTATCAATGAGATTTTAAACTCATTTCACTTCACATAATAAAATGTATGCTTAAATAAAACAATTGGCTAAAATCAATTTAAATTTAATACTTAGCATGTATGGAATGGATTTTTCCTTTTAAATGCTTATTGCATTTTCTTCTAATTTTTATTTCACCAGTTCTGCTTTACAAATAATTTCAAAGAAGCATATTCAGATAAACTGGTGGATGGTGATTTAGTTTTTTTTTTTTTATCTCAAATCCATTTAGACAGTTACTCAAGTTTCAGAAAGTTTTATTAAAGAGTTCTGAGGAAATTTGGAGCAAATTGAACTTTTCAAAAAAAATTTTCTCCAATTTTATTTTTTGGGGTGAGTGGGTACGGGGATTAACCTCAGAGGCACCAGGGACACGCAACCACTGAGCCACATCCCCAGTCCTGTTTTGTATTTTATTTAGAGTCAGGGTCTCACTGAGTTGTTTAGTGCCTCACTTTTTCTGAGGCTGGTTTTGAACTCCCTCTTGCTTCAGCCTCCTGAGCTGTTGGGATTATAGGTGTGCTTAGAAATGAATAAAGAATTCTACTTTTCATTTAGAACATCCTATTCATTGAAAACTTCTGTTTAGGTATAGTCTTTATCATTTTTTAAAAAATCTTTTCTGAACTGTATATAATGTTGCAATGACATTTTCATTTCTATGATTCTGTATTTTTAAAAATCCTACTGATTTTACCCGGAGTCATGTTGTATAAAACCTGGTTGGTTAATTTTTAGAAATGTGTCTTGTGAGCTTGATCTCTGTGCCTAGCAACTGTAGCTAAGTCAGAGATGCTAGTGGAACATGAGCCTTCCACGAATGAAGGAACTGAAGTCTGCTTATCTACACACAAAATTTACAATTGCAAACACAAGAAGTAAAAAGTAGCTAAATTGAATACTCAAGTTCCTATTTTACCTTGAAAAAAACTTAAATAGTAACAAAACTAGGCTCTCATACCCAGATGTAGACTTCTGCTAAAATATAATCTACTTTAAATTCACCCTGAGTTGCTTCCCACTACATTTAAAGGCCTAGTGTCCTGCAGGCAAAATTGTGGTCACAGGTGGTTGATTCCTCTTTGACAAGGCAAT